TGGGCGAATGTTCTGTGCTTCCAACACCGTATTCGATTGTCCAATGGTTTCCTTCTTGGCCGAAACAGTTTCCAATTGTGGAGGTCTTCACAACCGATGCGCTAAAAGAAGGAAAATTTGTCTTCTGGCTTGTTCGGTGAAAGAAATCATTAAGAGTTCCATTGTTGCGCATGCACCGTACACGATATTACATAGGGCAACCCCTTACGTTGTATATCCCCTGGCTTGCATCTGCTTGTGCCCTTTGATGCCAGAAGAATACCTGTTTTAGATGTCAACCTCCGGGAATGCCTCAGCTCAACAGGAGTCTAGTGCCGCCTTAAACGCTTTGACGCTTGTGCAGTTGACTACCTCTTCAGGTAACTTGTTCTTAATAGGTATGACCGTGTGTGAAAAGAAGTTAGCCCGAATATCCAGTTGAGCGTGGCTATGACCTCTCGTGCAGTGGTTACGGGCTAGAGTAAACAAATCACCTAGATTGAGCCCTGACAGACCTTTCACTATTTTGAAAATCTCTATCAGATCACCCGCATTCTTCTGCGTTCAAGCGAGAAGAGGCTGAGATCCCTTGGTTTCTGTTCGTAGCTTTTAAACCTCTGTCCAGCTCCCATTCGGGTGGCCAAACATTGCACCTTCTGCAAGCACCTTATGTCCTTCCTGTAATACAGTGCCCAAGCCTGGACACAATATTCTAAATGAGGGCGAACAATGGTCTTGGAAAACCTCCGGTTGCCTGCTAGTGAATTCTACATACGCGAAACAACTCCCCTCCGGCCTTGTTCGTTGCCTTGAGGCACTGAGCTGAGGGCTTGAAGTTGTCGTTCATAATAATCCCAAGGTCTCTCACTTGTGGGGCCTCTTGTAGCGGTAGACCGTTTACCAAGTACGTGTTGGGTGTGGTGGCAAAACAACCGACACTTGGTGAGCTTTAGAGGAAGATCCCATTGAACAGTCCGTCGATGAACTATCTCTAAATCCTTCTGCAAGTCGGTGAACGTTATCGGCAAAAATGAGGCACGGATTTTGGAAACCCTGTGTAGGTCGTTTATGAACATTAGGAATATTAGGGGTCCGAACAAAGCCTTGTGGGACTCCGCTCGAGACTCATGGTCTCCCGCCCTCACCCTAAAGATGGGGTTGATCAAAAACGATATAAGTCAGAAGTCGATTATGTACTAGGTGCAGGCATGTCTGCTTCCTAACTAATCATTCTGAGCACTTACACAGCACCGACTTTAGGCTGGCGGGTCGGTAGTTTTGGGCCAATGCTACCGCCGTGTGCCAACTATCTGATAACGCAGCATTTTGGAGCGACTCCCTAAAGAGCCTAGTGATTGGTCTTGTTAGGACCTCGGTTAATGGCTGAACTATGGCTGGATGGATTCCATCCCGCTGACTTATACTTATTCAGCACTTCTCGAATTACGTCGGCTTTCGTTATACACATTTCCACTGAAATCGGTGTCTCTTAGCAGTTGCGGTGTCGGAATAGCTGTGTTGGACGTCGCCCTATAGATACTTTAAAAAAAAACAGCAGCGTTCAGTTTGCACAGGACAGGAACCCAGGTAGCACGTCGTCCGCGACTAGCGCGCTTATAACCGGCTACATCTGATCTACAAATGAGCTATGGCACCAAAATTGTAGCGCATTTGTAGCCCATTAGTCGGCTAATAGCGCGCTATTATAATAGCTGGCTGCAACTGTAGCATATTAATGAGCTACATCTCAGAACATCCCATTTTTAGTTTTCCGCCTTAAGGGGGACAATTGTCCCGTCCCGATTCCCCTATTAACCCTATATTTTCACTTTACTATCTCATCACTCAACAAGCCTGGAGTGACTACAAGCGAGCGCGAAACAGATGTCAAGACCTCCAAAGGCGTGCCAAATATGACTTCGAGTTTAACTTAGCACGAGGCGTCAAAAAGAACACCAAAAGCTTCTATGCGTACGTGCAAGCCAACGCACGCACACGAGAGAGTGTAGGAGCGCTAACTTTGTCCGATGGAGGCATAGCTACGTGTAATCGCGATAAAGCGGAAACCCTACTTAAGTTCTTTAAGAGCGTGTATAGGACCCCAGTCGACTATGAAAACCTGGGTTTAGCAGGTTCAGCTGATCCATCAGAGTTTGCCGATATTGTCATGTGTGAAACAGATGTAAATCGAGAACTTCAGACGCTGAACAAGCACAAGTCAGCAGGTCCGGATGGAATTCATCCAGCCATAGTGCAGCCGCTGGCCGGGCCGTTGACTGTAATGTTTAGGGAATCAGTGCAAAATGCGACGCTACCCCAGGACTGGCGTACAGCTACCGTAGTACAACTGCACAAGGCTGGACTGAAATGTAAATCAGAAAACTACAGACCCGTTAGCCTAACGTCAGTGTTGTGTAAATGTCTGGAGCGACTAATCAGAAGGCAGATTCGCCTACATCTGACTAGAACTCGACTCCTGTCACCGGCACAACATTGCTTTGTGCAACGAAAATCATGTCTTATGAACCTGCTTGTATTCCTAGACGAAGTCACTCAACGTATGCATGGGGATAAAAATGTAGAAGTCTGTTACTTAGACTTCAGTACAGCATTTGACTCCGTCAGCCACAGATTGTTGGACTTCAAAGTTCGGAGCCTAGGCATAACAGGTAGAACCAGGGACTCGATTGTAGCCTTTTTGAACAACCGCACCTTCCGGGTCAAGGTGGGTGACTATATTTCTAACCATGAGGTGGTTACGAGTGGAGTTCACCAGGGCTCAGTGCTAGGTCCACTAATTTTTCTCATATTCATCAACGGTCTGGCACAGTATCTTCAAAATCCGTGCTCCATGTTCGCTGATGATGTCGAAATGACGGGTTTAAACCACCAAATCCCAGTCGCTCCTGAAGACGTGGAAAAACTGCTGTCACGACTCCTTTTGGTCTGTGTGAGTTCCCACGTATGTCTTTTGGTTTGCGAAACGCTGCTCAGACTTTCCAACGTTTATCGATAGCATTACACGAAACTTAGATTTTGTGAACCTGGTCGATCGGAACTTGTTTTCATTGGCAACAAGATCACACTAGACATCGAAAAAAGGAGTTATTTGGTGGAATTAATTATCGAATCAGTCTTTAGACCGACAAGAGTTATGATAAATGCGAGTAAAGGTTAATTTGATTGTCAAACCTGCCTTGAGAAAGGTTATCCACGGTAACCGAAACGTCGGCGAATATAATTCTCTACCGACATCGCTGTGTTATTAACACTATAACATTCACATTCACAATAAAACAACACATGGCCCATCGATTTTTCGATAAACTTCGACCATTTGGGCGCACGTTACCATCCGGCACCCCCCCCCCTCAATTGTTTACTTAATTTTGGGTCACTAGAGAAGCGAATACTGCAAAATGTTTCGGATATTTTTTTAGACAGTTTTAATGTATAAAATATTGTCCTGTTTGATGATACACGAAAGTCCATTTTCACAAGGTTTGTTTGAAATTATGACCTTGAAACATGGACGGGTCTAAAATGTAAGGGATGCTACACCATATTCAAGGAGAGGCGTGTGTGGGGTATATGAAGGTACGCCATTCATTGCCACCAACACTTACTTTATTTGCAACATCTTGCGCAGCCGTATCCATGTTGAATACCATTTACTATTTATTAGATTATTTTTTATTTATTTCTGTGCTTCCATTTCCTGGAGAAATATTTAACTACTTATGAGCAGTATTTTTACTTTTACGAAAATCGCCG